TTAAAGGAATGAACAAAGGAATCTCTGTTATTTTATATCAAAAGCATAGCTACTCAATGGAAGACATTTTGACATTTTTAAGGCATGTTTACTAGGTTTCATTATGTAACAAAGGGGTATAAAGCACAGAGGAAGGAAGTAGAGGGTGAATTTCTAGGGAAATTTCAAGGCAGAAGGAACTTTTGACCAGGACGATGGTGCAGAAGAGATTCATGAGAGCATAAGTGGCTGGGGATACTGAAGGTGTAAAAGAAAATGCAGAAGCATTAAATTCTTTCTGATAACAATGCTCTGGGAAGGCTGCTTCCACTTAGCATTGAGACATAATTCGCGTGTCATAAAATTAAGCCATTTGAAGTGTACATTTCATTGGTTTTTAGCAAATTCACAGAGTTACTCAACCGTCACCGCAATCTAATTTTAGAACATTTTCATTACCCCAAAAAGAAACTGTCTGCATTAGCAGTCACTGCCCGTCCCCCTCTCCCAGCTCTAGACGACGACTAATCTTCCTGTCTCTATGGATTTGCTATTCTGCACATCTCATATAAATGGAACCATACAATATGTGGCCTTTTGTGACTGGCTTCTTTCACTTAGGAAAATGTTTGCAGGGTTCATCCACGTCGTAGCATGGGTCCCTGCTTCATTCCTTCCCTCCCTCAGCGCTTTACTGAGGGGTAATTTACCTAAAGGAAATGCACAAATATTAAGTGTACAGCTCCACGACTGTTTACCTATGTACATATATTCTCATGTGACCTCCACCAAGATCAAGATCACCCCACAGAGTTCCCTCATGCACTTTTTAAAAATTTTGGTAAAGTACACACAAGATAAAATTTACCATCTTAACCATTGTCGTGCAACCGATCTCCAGGACTTTTTCATCTTGCAAAACCGAAACTCTACGTCCATCAAACACCACTCTCCATTCCTCGATCTGCCCCAGCGCCTGCAACCACCATTCTACTTTCTGTTTCTATGAGTTTGTACTCTAGGTCCCTCATATAAGTGAAATCATATAGTATTTATCTTTTTGTGGCTGGCTTATTTCACTTAGCATAATCTTCTCAAGGTTCATCCATGTGTGGCATGTGTCAGAATTTCTTTCCTTTTTAAGGAATCATATTCTGATGTATAGATAGACCACATTTTGTTTATCCATTCATCCGTGGATGGACATTTGGGTTACTTCCACCTTTTGGCTGTTGTGAATAATGCTGCTATGAACATGGGTGTGCAAATATCTTTTTGAGACCTTGCTTTCAATTCTTTTGGACATACACCCAGAAGTGGTATTGTTGGACTGTATGACAATTCTATTTTTAATTTTTTGAGGAACCACCATTCTGTTTCCCGTAGTGGCTGTACCGTTTTACGTTCCCACCAGCAATGCACAAGACTTCCAACTTCTCCACATCCTCTCCAACACTTGTGATTTTCTGTGTTTTTTTTTTTTTTTTAGTAGTGGCCATACTGATGAGTATGAGGAGATATCTCATTGTGATTTTAATTTGCATTTCCCTGATAATTAGTGATATTGAACATGTTTTCCTGTGCTTTTTGCCCGCTTATATATCTTCTTTGGAGAAATATTTATTCAAGTCCTTTGGCCATTACTTTTTATTTTTAGTAACAGCTTTATTGAAACATAATTGACCAATTTAAAGTGTACAATTCAGGGGACGGGCCGGTGGCACAGCGATTAAGTGTGCACGTTCCACTTCGGCGGCCCAGGGTTCGCCGATTCAGATCCTGGTGTGGACAGGGCACCGCTTGGCAAGCCATGCTGTGGCAGGTGTCCCACGTATAAAGTAGAGGAAGATGGGCACGGATATTAGCTCAGGGCCAGTCTTCCTCAGCAAAAAGAGGAGGATTGGCGGCAGATGTTAGCTCAGAGCTAATCTTCCTCAAAAAATAAAATAAAGTAAAAAATAAAGTGTACAATTCCATGATTTTTAGTATATTCACAGAGTTATCATCATAATCAATTTTAGAACATTTTCATCACCCCCAAAAGAAACCTCATACCTTTTGGCTGTCACATCCCAGCCCCCTCAGCCTTTTAGCTCTCCAGCCTTAGGCAACCACTAATCTACTTTCTGTCTCTATGGATTTGCCTATTCTGGACATTTCACATAAATGGAATCATACAGTATGAGGTCTTTTGTAACTAGCTTCTTTGACTTAACATAACTTCCCATTAACAAGTTGTGAGAACATGTGTGAAATATTGTCTATGAAGGAAGCTCATTAGAGACTCTGTGCCAAAGGTTTTTATTGGGGGCTGGTCCCGCAGGCACCCTCTGCCTAGGAATACCAAAGTTCCAGACTCCCAGGAGGAAAGCTGGTGTTCACCATAAACCTTGGTGTTTGTGCAAACAGCTAAGGCACAGTGAGCTCCTCTTACCTCTCAAGGTGGTGAGAACCCTCCTCACATCCAAGGTCCCACATCCCAGCCAAAGACCAGCCTTACAGTCAGGATTTGCAAATGCTAGCATCCTCGGGCCGCTTTGTTAACTCATTTTTGCATAGATTTTGGTAAGGATTGTGCTGATTCTGCAGATCGATTGGAGATGTAAGATGGAGAATATTGCCGTCTTAACAATATTAAGTATTACAGTTGATGAACATGGGATGTCTTTCCATTTATTTAGATTTTTAATTCTTCTTATGTTACTTGGTAGTTTTCAGTGTGCAAGTCTTATATATCTTTTGTTCAATTTATTTCTAAGTATCAGAGGCCGGCCCCGTGGCTGAGTGGTTAAGTTCTCGTGCTCCGCTTTGTCCGCACAGGGTTCCGGTTTGGATCCTGGGCGTGGACATGGCACTGCTCATCAAGCCATGCTGAGGCGGCGTCCCACATACCACAACTAGAAGGACCCACAACTAAAAATACACAACTATGTACCAGGGGGCTTTGGGGAGAAAACGGAAAAATAAAATCTTTAAAAAAAATTACTTCTAAGTATATTATTCTTTTTGATGCCATTGTAAATGGAATTGTTTTCTTAATTTCGTCTGCAGATTATTCCTCGCAAGTGTGTAGAAATGCAATTGAGTTTTGTATATTGATCTGGTATCCTGCAACCTTGAGCTCATTTATTAGCTCTAATAGTTTTTTTGTGTTTTTTTTAGTCTGGTAAGATGGTGGATTACACAGATTGATTTTTTCGAACCAGCCTTGCATGCATGGAATAAACCCCACGCGGTTATGGTGTATGGTGTTTTTTATATAGTGCTCAATTCTGTTTGCTAATATCTTGCTAAGGATTTTGCATCTATTTTTACTTTTCCCATTTCTAATTGGGTTGTTTTTGTTGTTGTTCTTGCATGGGAGGAGTTCTTTTTATATTCTGGATATTAACCCCTTATCAAATTGTAATTTGCAAATGTTTTCTCTCATTCAGTAGGTTGCCTTTGATGCACAAGTTTTAAATGTTGTTATAGTCCAGTTTGTCTATTTTTTCTTTTCTTCCCTGTGCTTTTGCAGAAATCACTGCCAAATCCACTGACATAAAGCTTTTCCTCTATATTTTCTTCTAAGAGTTTTATAGGTTTAGGTCTTTGATCCATTTTGCATTCATTTTTGTCTATGGTATAAAATAAGGGTCCAACTTCATACTTTTGCATGTGGATATCCAATTTTCCCAGTGCCATTTGTTGAAAAGACTGTTCTTTCCCCAGTGAATGGTCTTGGCAGCCTTGTTGAAAATCATTTGGCCATATATATGAGGATTTATTTCTGGGCTCTGTTCTATGTCTTCATTCCTTTTTAGGGCTGAATAATATTCCATTGTATAATATGTTGTATTTTATTTACGGTAAGCCTAATATTTTATTTCAGTATTAATCACTGGGTGTTGTCACATCCGTGATTTATGGATTCTTGAGCCCTTGAACAGGAGTGTTGCTTTGATGATTAGAACATTTGTATTTTGTTTGTTTGCTTTGCTTTTTGTTTGTTTATTTTAGCTTTGTCCACTCTCCTTGTGATTCTAGAACCTTGGAGTGGAGAAAATCAGGTACATCTACCACAAGAAAGCTGCCAGCATATTCCTGGAAAAGACAAGCTCCTTGCCTAGTTTTCTGCCTATGATTATTCCAAACCTCTAATCAAACCTAAAATAACTTGTTTTGTCATCCACACTGCTAGTGTTCTCAGTAATCCCCTGTATATCTGTAGACTGCTTTCTAATTTTCAAAGCAGACAGTGAGTTTTGTCTTATTACTCCTCCCACCCTGCCCCATGTGTGAAGTGTCTTGCACACAAGCTTAATGTTTGTTGGAGGACAGAAGAAACCGTCTAACTTTTTTTTTTTTTTTTTTGCTGAGGAAGATTCCCCTGTGCTGATATCTTTTGCCAAGGCCAAGCTTCCTCTTTGTTTTCTTTTTTCGTTTGGGGAAGATTTGCCCTGAGTTAACATCTGTGCCCACCTTTCTCTACTTTGTACGTGGGTCACTGCCTCACGGTGGTATAGGTCCATACTAGGATCCAACTCTGGAACCCAGGCCTCCCAAGCAGAGAGCAGGGAAGTTAACCAGTACTCCCGAGCGCTGCCGAAGCGCTTTCTGTCGCAGCATTATCTCAGGATCTCATCTCATGTACCCCTGGAAGCAGCCCTACCACCTAAATGTTGTTATTTACAGAGAAAGAAACTGAGGCTGGAAAGAGGTACGTGTCTTGCCAAGACCACAACGCTGGTTAAGTGGAGGAGCGCAGGAGCGAGCCAAATGCATAGCGCAGGGTCGCTCCATCTGGGTTCGCGCAACCCAGGCCTGTGGAGCGGGCACGCTGCCACCAACAGCTGTTTCTGCGTTGCCGCAGGCTCCAGAAAAACACCCTCAAACTGAGACCCGGATCTTCCTCCACGTCCCATGCAAATTCTACGGCTGGAAAGCTCGAGCGTGGGAAGGCGAGGCTGTGCGCTGTTGACCCTCCCTTCCTGACTCGCGGTGGAAAGCCCGCCCGGGGCTCCTGGAAACCGGCGGGGCAGCGGCTGTCACCAGGGGCGGAGCTCGGCGCCGCCGGCCCTCCCCGCGGCTTGCAGCAGCGCCCAGGCCCGGAGCGATCGCCGTCACCCCGTCACCTCTCCCTTCCTCTTCTCGGCTGTCGTCCTTTCGTGCTCCAGACCACATCCTGGAGGCCGCTCTCCTGCGCGGTCCCCGGCGGGGACGGTGCACCCCGCGGCCGGGCCTGCGAGCCGCGCGGCGCGGCCTCCTTCCCCCGCAGGCCCACCCCTCGGCGGCGCCGATTGGCCGCTCCTGGGCCATCCCCGCGTCCTGGGCAGGCAAGGTCCTCTGCCCAGCGGAAAGTTTTCCGTGCCGGGAGGAAGTCGGCGTTGGAGACTCGGAGAAAGCAGCTCTGGAGGCTGCGGGGCTCTGGGCGGCCATGGAGGAGCCCCCTTTGCGAGAGGAGGAAGAGGAGGAGGAGGAGGACGAGGGGGACGAGGCCGGGCCCGAGGGGGCTCTGGGCAAGAGCCCCTTCCAGCTGACCACCGAAGACGTGTATGACATCTCCTACGTGATGGGCCGCGAGCTGATGGCCCTGGGCAGCGACCCCCGGGTGACCCAGCTGCAGTTCAAGATCGTCCGCGTCCTGGAGATGCTGGAGACGCTGGTGAACGAGGGCAACCTGACGGTGGAGGAGCTGAGAATGGAGAGGGACCACCTCAGGAAGGAGGTGGAGGGGCTGCGGAGAGAGGGCTCGGCGGCCAGCCCCGAGGTGAGTGCGGGAGGGAGGCGGTCTTGCCCGGAGCAGCCCCGAGGTGCCTGGGAGAGCACCCACTGGCAGGGAGGCACCCTTCTTCTCTGGAACATCCGAGTCCCTCAGAGAGTCACTGCGAGTATCCAGTCCTTAGAGTAGAAGCGTTAGGATAGTTACCATTTTGTGAGCACCTACTACGTGCTGGCCCCGTCTTGCGTATGTTCTAAATCAGTGGCTTCCAGCATTTTTGACGCGGGCCTGGAGTAGTGGCTCTCAAGCTTTAGCATGCATCACAGTCATCTGGAGTGTTCCTTAAAACACAGATTTCGGGCCCCAGCCTCCGAGTGTCTGACTCAGTAGGTCTAGAGTGGAACCTGAGAATCTGCATTTCTAACAAGTTCCCAGCTGATGTTGATGCTGCCGGGCCAGACATCGCACTGAGAATCTTTGATCTGGAGTGAGAAACACATTTTAACTAAAGAGAAATAGTGCTTATGACCACGGACAAGAATATTCAGAGCAGCTCTATTCATAATCGTGCCAAACTGGAAACAATCCAAATGCAACAGAGCAGTGGATTTTTTAAAACTGTGGTAGGTTCGTACTGTGGAATACTACACAGCAACGAAAAAGAACAGAGTGCTGGTACACACAACTGGATGGATGAATCTCACAGATGTAACATTGAGAGAGAGAAGCGAGGCACACAAGAGAGCCTCTTGTACGTGAAATTCAAGAACAGGCAAAATAATCTTTCCCTCTAGAAGACAGGGAGCAGAGAGTGGTGGGGAGAGGGAGGGAAATTTATAGGGAGCTAATCCGAGTGTGGTTGCATTGGTGTAGACATATGGTAAAAATCATTAAGCTCTAAACTCAAGATTAGTGCACTTTACTGTATGTATGTTACACTTTCATTTTACAAAATTACATTTTAAAAAACAATTTACCCTAACTCACCCTTACTAAACAGGATGCACAGTCAAACTTTCCTATTCTATTTTTATGAATTTTTAAATTCTTGTTGCAACTCACTAAATTAATATTATGACTCACTAGTGGGTCTCCAACCACAGTTAAAAAAAAAGCTGCCCTAAGTGGACCATCTCATTTAATCCTCACACTATTGTTATACCCATTTTACAGAAATGGAGGCACAGAGTAGTTAAGTAATTTGTCTAAGGACTTACAGCACGTAAGAGGTAGAGGCAGGATTTGAGCTCAGAGATGCTAGACTTAACACGCCATACTAAAATACAGTATTTTTTGTATATTTTGACTTTTTGTACTAATGTTTGATGAGTGACTGTGCTGTGCCGGGCTCTGGGGCTGTGGAGGTAGATTAGACAAGGTCCCTGCCTTCACGGAGCTGACGTGCAGTGGGAGAGGGGAGACACAGAGACCTCCAGAACTCGAGTACAAGATCACAGCTGAGGCGTGTGCCATGGACGGACAACAGGCACAGCGTTGCTGAAGTTCACGGGGAAGCGTGAAGGTTTCCGGTGGCCTCCTGGTACGCTTTCACTTCATCTCCTCATTAGTCACAGCGACAATTGTATATGTAGGTGAGGTTCTACGCCAATATCCATCATATGGGATGGACGAGTATCTTGATTGTAGCCTGGCTTTTGAGGTTTAAGGGCAGGTAAATGCCTTGCCCAAGATCGCTCAGCTCACATTCTGTGTTCTTTTCCTGTCGCCTCCAACTCCAGGCAGGAGGAATGGAGGATATGGAGGCAGCCCTGCTGTGGACCGTGAACAGCGTGGTCTGCACAGGGGCCGGGTGATTTCCCAGATGGGTCACAGTGGACAAGCTTCATCAGTCAGCAGACGAGAGGGCACATTTTCCTCCCAACCTGCAGTCTTAAGAACGGGGGTGGGGGAAAAGGCAGAGAGAATGTTTAGTGCTGCTGAACAGTTCATAAAAATACACCGTATTCTTACCGTATTCTTTTCCTTCTTTCCTTTTTGTTTAACTATTATTTTTAGTTGTGGTAAAGTACATGTACAATTTACCATCGTTAAGTGTACAGTTCCGTGGCGTTAAGTACCTTTACATTGTTGTGCAATCGTCACCACCATCCTCTCCACAACTCTTCTTGCAAAACGGAAACTCTGTAGCCGGTAAACATTAACTCCCCATTCGCCCTCCCCCAGCCTCTGCTAACTACCCTTCTACTTTCTAGCTCTGTGAATTTGCCTATTCTAGGTATTTCATATAGTAGAATAGTGTCACATTTGTCCTTTGGTTATTGGCTTATTTTACTTAACGTATGTCCTCAAGGGTCATCCATGCTGTGGCATATGTTAGAATTTCCTTACTTTTAAAGGCTGAATAATATTCCATGGCATGGATAGACCACATTTAGTTTATTCAATCATCGGTCACTGGACACTTGGTTTGCTTCCATCCCTTGGCTGCTGTGAACAGGAAGGCACCATCATCTCTTCAAGACCCTGCTTCCGGTGCTTTGGGGTGTATACCCAGAAATGGGTTGCTGGATCACATAATTCTGTTTTTCATTTTAAAAGGAACTGCTGTACAGTTTCCCATGGTGACTGCACCATTTTACATTCCTACCGGCAGTGCACAGACCAATTTCTCCACACCCTCACCAACACTTGTTATTTTCTGTTTTATTTGTTTGTTTAAAGTGGCCATCCTAATGGGTAGGAGGAGGGTTTTTTCTTCTTTAAAATTTTAAGTTCAAAATTCGAAAGGTGCAAAAGTGTTTGTCTTGAAAAATTTCCCTCCTCATCTCTCTCCACCCCCAGCCACCCACGTCCCCTCCCTGGAAAAAATTTAAATGCTCAGTTTCTGTGTCTCCTTCCAGATATACTTTATGCAAACATAGGCAGATGTGAATATATTTTTCCCCTTTTTACACAAATGGTCTTATGATATATACCCCGTTCTACCTCTTGCTTGTTTTCACTTAATATATCGTGAAAGTTGTACTAAATCAGAATATAAAGAGCTTCCTCATCTTTTAATGGCTTTTGAAAACTTCCATTGTCCAGTATTATCAACTGTTCAGTTGAGGGCTCTTACCTTTGAGTTCATGGACCCCCCAAGAGGATCAAGATTCTAACTCGAGAGATCCATCAACTTACATGGGAAAAATACATATTTTTATTTTTGCCAACCTCCCACTGAAATTAATCACTTTCTTCAGTTATGAATGTGGACAACAAACCACAGTAATATTAGTAATACCTATGACAACCACCCATGGAAGTCACAGATATTTTCATATCTCATTACAGTACAGTACATATCTCAAAACTTTGTTTTTTGGGGCCGGCCCGTGGCGCAGTGGTTAAGTGCGCACCGTCCGCTCCTTGGCAGCCCGGGGTTCGCCGGTTCGGATCCTGGGTGTGGACGTGGCACCGCTTGGCAAGCCATGCTGTGGTAGGCATCCCACGTATAAAGTGGAAGAAGATGGGCACGGATGTTAGCTCAGGGCCAGGCTTCCTCAGCAAAAAAAAAAAAAAAAAAAGAGGAGGACTAGGCAGTAGTTAGCTCAGGGCTAATCTTCCTCAAAAAAAAAAAAAGAAAAACTATTTGTTCAGTATTTTATTAGACCTGTGGCTAGATCGTGTTATTTAATAAAGAATCATGTATATTAATAATAAATTTATTTTTAGAAGATTTTGATGACTGTATGTCATCTTAGTTGGTGTCCTTGTAATCCTGTACATTTTATTTTATATATTTAAAAATGTTGTGCTGAGAAGGAATCCATGTGAGCTTTACCAAGCTGCCAGAAGGCTCCATGGCACAAAAAAATGGTTAAGAATCTCTGCTTTAGAGTCAGCCCTTTTGGCCTAGTGGTTAAAGTTCAGCACGTTCCACTTCGGCAGCCCAGGTTTGTTTCCTGGACGTGGAACCACACCACTCGTCTGTCAGTAGCCATGCTGTGGCTGCAGCTCACACAGGAGAACTAGAAGGGCTTACAACTAGAGTATGCATCTATGTACTGGGGTTTGGGGGAGGGGAAAAAAAGAGAGAGGAAGATTGGCAACAGATGTTAACCCAGGGCGAATCTTTCTCAGCAAAAAAAAAAAAAAAAAAAATCTCTGCTTTAACCAGTCTCCTATCAAAAGAGATTTATTTTCCAATCATTTGCTCTTTGTACACTGAAAAATGAACAACGCTGACATATGCAGTCTGGCCCCTAGGGAGAGTATCTGGAGGAAATGTTCTCACTGGGTCAAAGGAAAGGTACATTTGAAATTTTGGTAAGTATTGCCAAACCTCTCAGGTTAAGGAGATTTGCTCCCTGAGCAGTCACTGTAAGTGTCTGTTTCCCCACAGCCATTACAACACAATGTGTTTTCAAACACGCTCATCTTTGTCAGCCTGATGGGAGGAACAGGGTCACTCTCTATTGTGTTCCTCTTTATAGTGCGCCTTATTCTCTTTATCACCTGTGGAATATTCCAGAGTGTGGTTGTGCCTTACTTGATTTAACTAGGCTTCTATTAATGGACATTTAGGTTGTTTTCAAACGTTTGCTTTATTTTAACTTTAGTTTGAAAAACTTTCACATCTATGGAAGAGTTGCAGCAAACACCTATATACCTTTCACCTCGATTCAGGTGTTGTATTCAGGTGTGTGTATATATGTGTGTGTTTGTGTGTGTGTATGTATATAGTATGTCTTAGGAAATACACACTGAAGTATTTATATACACACATGCATATATGCATATATGTGTAGATACACACATATATATACATTTAGTATATAGACACATATGCAAAAATAATATTTATGTAAATATATTATTTATTCATTCATAGTTTTGCTCAGCTTTTTGAGCATACCTTATGTTAGTTGCAGGATTAGTAGAAGATTAAGATCCTTTGCCCTAAATAATTCAATGTGTCTCTCTGAAGACATACTATTACATAACCACAAAAAAATGATCAAATTCAGGGAAAAAAGTTGATAGACTACTAAGATCTAATATACCATCCATATTCAAAGTTCGCAGTAATGTCCATTATAGCATTTTCTTTTTCTGATGCAGGATCCCATCCAGGGTCATACAGTACCATTAGTTGACACATCTCTCTCGTCACCTTCCATCTGGAATAGTTCCTCAGCTTTTCCTTGTCTTTCATGACCTTGACATTTTTTAAGATTGCATACGTCAGTTGGTTTGTAGAATGTCCTTCAATTTGGGTTTGACGTCATATTTCCTCATGATTAGATTCAAGTTCTACGTGTTTGGCAGGAATACCACAAAAGTGATGCTGTGACCTCAGTGCATCGGATCCAGAGGCCCTGATTCAGTTTGTCATTATTGGTGATGTTGACTTCACTCACTTGGTGAAGGAGGTGGTTGCCAGACTTCTGCACAGTGAAGATGTCTTTATTCCCTTTGTGATTAATAAGGAGCCTGCAGGAAAATGCTTTGAAACTGTGTAAAATATCCTGTTCCCCAACAAACTTTCACCCAAAGGTTTTGGGTCCATTTATTAGTCTTGCCTGAATCAATTATTACTAATTTGGTTCCAAAAGAGGAGATTTACTATAGGAATTGACTCCTGCAGTTATGGAGGCAGAGGTCCACAAACTGCGGTCTGCAGGCTGGAGCACCAGAAGGCCAGCGGAGTAACGTAGCCCGAGTCGAAGGCCTGAGAATCAGGGGGCTGATGGTGTCAATCCTGGTCTGGGTCTGAAAGCCCAAGAACCAGGAGCCTCGGTGTTCAAGGGCGGGAGAAGGTGAGAGTCTTAGCTCAAGCAGAGAGCGAGCGGGAACTCACGCTTCCTCTGCCTTTTTGTTCCATTCTAGCCCTCACTTGGTTGGATGACGCCCATCACATTGGGGAGGACCGTCTGCTTTACTCAGTTCACCAGTTCAAATGCTAATCTCTTCTGGAAACACCTTCGCATACATACTCAGAAATCGTGTTTAACCAGCTATCTGGGCATCCCTTAGCCCAGGAAAGTTGATACATAAAATTAACCATCACATCCCCATTAATTAGTTAGTTAATTTTAATTTTTTAATTGTGAGTAGCGACTTCCGAATTCTCTTTTTAGTTGGTAGGTTATTATTCATCCTGTTATTATTCATTTTGATACTCAAATTCTTCTCAGTTTGGCCAGTAGGAGCTCCTTCAAACTGTGTCATTTTGGTATGTCTCCATTCCTCATACCCCAAAATGTTCCAGGCTCACCTTGTATTTTCCCTGTTCCCTGTTCCGGCCCTGGAATCAGCCGTTCTCTACGGCCCTGGTTCTTTTCTTGGAGAATGGTGCTTAGAACTTTTGCATCTTTGCCGTCAGCCAAATACTTCCAGCAGGCCACGTCTCATCTCAGAAAGTCCCTGAGAGTAACAAAATGAAAGAACTTTCCTTCTGGAGTGGGGAGTGTATCTTCATGTGAGACACTGTATAAGTAACGTCTTTTCTTAACAGGTAAACCTGGGACCAGACAAGATGGTGGTTGACCTGACAGACCCCAACAGACCGCGCTTCACTCTCCAGGAGCTGCGGGATGTGCTCCAGGAGCGCAACAAACTCAAGTCCCAGTTGCTGGTGGTGCAGGAGGAGCTGCAGTGCTACAAGAGGTGGGGCTCGGCTGCCTGCGGGCTCCGACGGCGGAGCAGGCCCTGCCTGGAATTCCTTGTCATGTTACATATTTGTTCTTATGATCATTCAACCAATTTATTGAAGACCTACTACATGCCAGACACTATTCCTGGCACTGGGGATCTAGCAGTGAACACAATAAAGTCCATCTAGTCTAGGGGGAGGACAGGCGATCGAGAAGGAAGCCTGAAATAAACAGGCAACATAATGGCGGTAAGTGCTCTAAAGAATATAAGGGAAAGTAACGGGACAGGGACCGAAGGGCTGTGGGAGGTGGGTGAGGGGCCTGCTTTAGATTGAGTGGTCAGGGAAGACCTCCCCTAAGGTCAATGACAAGAAGCAGCCAACCAGGTAAAGATTTAGTAGGGAAAAGAGAAGCAGGAAGTGCAAAGACCTTGATGTGGGAACCAGGTTGGCCAATCTAAGAGGTCCACCATGGCGGAAGCTGGCAGGCATGGTAGAGGCGGGTGGAGAAGAGGCTGGGGAGGTATGCGCTGTTGGCCATGGGAAGGAGCCTTCATTTGATTGTAAGTGCAATGAGAAGTTGTTGGAAAGTTTTAATCAAGGGAATGATAAGATCTGATTACTATTTTAGAAGATCAGTGGGGCTGGCCCAGAGGTGTAGTGGTCAAGTTCGTGTACTCTGCTTTGGTGGCCCGGGGTTCATGGGTTTGGATCCCAGGCACAGACCTACACATCGCTCACCAAGCCATGCTGTGGCAGCATCCCACATGTAAAGTAGAGGAAGATTGGCACAGATGTTAGCTCAGGGACAATCTTCTTCAAGCAAAAAGAGGAAGATTGGCAACAGATGTTAGCTCAGGGTCAATCATCCTCACCAAAAAAAAAAAAGAAAGAAAAATATCAATATGGTGATTTTGATAACTGAACTACTTGGTTGTGTAAGAGAATGTCCTCATCCTTTGGAAATACACGCTCAAGTATTTAGGATTAATGGGGTAAGATATCTCCAGCTTACTCTCAAGTGGAAGATGGATGGATGGGTAGGTGCATGGATAGGTAGATAGATATGTAGATGGAAGATACATAGGTGAACAATTAGGGGTCGGGTAAAAAGTATATGGGAAGTCTTTGTACTAATCTTAAATTTTTCTGTAAGTTTAAAATTATATAAAAATTAAGAATTAAAAAAATGACAATAATACTGTGTAGAGAAGGGATTGTGCGATGAGCAAGAGAGGAAACAAGGAAGGTGTTGACGTATCAGGTTTGGACTCTGCTGGGTCCATCTGTGCCACTGTTTCCCAAAATGTTTTTTCAGGTAGGTATTTCTGGAAAAGGGGGTCCTGTGGTCTAATAATTCTGAGAACATTGAGTTTAACAAAGCAAGTTTCCCTAGAGGCAGAAGAAGGAAAGACTAAGAGAATAAAAACACATTGCCATGTAATATTTATCACGGCTTACCATGTGCCAGGGACTCTGCTAAGTATATCTCAGCGTCATTACAATTAGTGTTACCAGCAAGCCTGTGACGTAAGGTAATGTTATCCCCAAGATGATCTGTGGTTCAGAGAGGTCAAGGACCTGCTTGAAGTCCACAGCTGGTGGTGGTAACTGTGAGATGTGACCTCAGACAACTGGACTTCAGAGCCTGTGCTTTTTTTTTTTTTTTTTGCTGAGGAAGATTCACCCTGAGATCCTGAGATAACATCTGTTTGCCAGTCTTCCTCTTTTTTTGATGTGAGCCGCCACCAGAGCACGGCTGTTAACAGACAAGTGCTGTGGGTCTGTGCCTGGGATCCGAACCCAGGCCACCAAAGCGGAGTGCACTGATCTTAACCACTAGGCCACCAGAGCTGGCCCCAGAGCCTGTCCTTTTAATTATCATGCCATGTCTGACCTTTGAAAGTTTGGAAGTAAAGATATAGCCTGACTCAAAACAAAGCAAAGCAGGGCCCAAGTGATATTATTCTTTCAGTGTAGCATCATTAAGAGAACAGCAATAAAGTAAGAGTGTTCTAGAAGCCAAATCCAAAAGGGCTGAGTTCTGATGACGGGAATTTAATTGTTTTTCTTCTGCTGAGGTTGGAACCATGTTACTCGAAAGACCTGTCTTCATCTCGTTTAATAAGTACTTCAGAAACAGGTAGTTAAAAACAGGAACTGCTAAACTGCCAATGCCGTGAGCAGCTTGTCAGTGAGTAAAGCAACACGCTTTATTTCCTGTCTTGAATTCCCAGAGAACCACAGATGCGCACTTCCCATCTGGTGCAGGCCAGTAGACAGCAGGGTTCTGTCTAGTCTCTTGTGTTATATATTCTGAAGAAACCAGCATGTCAGCTGAGATGTTCTCTTAGCAACTGCGTCAGTTTGGGGCCCTGAGCTCATGCTAATGAGTCTTTTTTTTTTTTTAAAGATTTTATTTTTTCCTTTTTCTCCCCAAAGCCCCCCGGTACATAGTTGTATATTCTTCGTTGTGGGTCCTTCTAGTTGTGGCATGTGGGACGCTGCCTCAGCGTGGTTTGATGAGCAGTGCCATGTCGGCGCCCAGGATTCGAACCAGCGAAACACTGGGCCGCCTGCAGCAGAGCGCGCGAGCTTAACCACTCGGCCACGGGGCCAGCCCCCATCATCATTGTTTTAAATCACTAAGTTTTAGGGTGTTATGTAACAATAAGTAATGGAAAAGAGGAATTTTTAGATGATGCCTCTTATTAAATAAGATGAACATTATAACAAATATATATAATAAAAATATAAATAATATTGAATAATAAGAGCCCTGTCTTTGCAAAACTCTTTGGCAAAGAAGGAGAGAGAAGGGTGAATTCTGCTCTCTGAGGCTCATACCTAAAGGAGGTCTCAGTCAGCTCGGGCTGCCGTGGCAAACACCGTAGACTGGGTGGCTTGCACAGTAGAGGTTTCTTTGCTCACGGTTCTGGAAGCGAGAGGTTCAAGACCAAAGTGCCTGCGCGGTTGGTTCTGACTCCTTCTGGCCTGTAGATGGTCACCTTCTTGCTATGTCCTCAAGTGCTGGGTGGGGGGAGAGAGAGAGAGCCCAAGCCTTCTGGTGTCTCTTCTTACAAGAGCACGAATCCCATCGTGAGGGCCCCACCCTTGTGACCTCATCTAACCCTAATTATGTCCCAAAAGCCCCATCTCCAAATACCGTCACACTGCAGGTTAGGACTTCAACCTGTGAATTCTGGGCGGGGGGGACAGTCCAGTCCTTAGTGAGGGGGAGAAACTGCGGGCATAAATTTACCAGAGGTACCACAACAAAATACCCAAGTGGATCTAACGAGCTTACCAGGTCAGACACTGAAACGCTTCGTTGTAGTCGGGCTTCTTTTGTTGCAAGTGACAGAAATCCAGTTCAAACCAGCTTAAGCACATAAAAGGAATTTTGTTGACTCGCATAGCTGGGAAGGACCCTGGAACTGTTCTCAGAAATGAAGAAACTGCAACTAAGGTCTCAGAGTTGGCACCAGGGACTTGGTGCCGCTTTCTTTCCTCTTCGCTTCTCTCTGTTTGTTGGCCTCGTTATCTTTCTTGCAGACGTGCCTTCTCTGAATCAGGAAACGTGGCTGCTGGCAGTCCCAGTTGCGCGAGTGAAAGAGAACAGCTTTCTCCAGCTTCTGTCCCAGGAAATACTCTGGCCCTCTTTGGGTCACGTGACCTCAATATCTTGTCAATCAATATCAATCTAGCTCTTATCGCATCTGACTTACACTATATATATATATATATAGACTATATATATATACACACTCACACACATATACATATATATTTTTTACTTATTTATTTGTCTATTGACTGCTTCCTCCCTCACTAGGATACAAATTGCACGAGAGAAGATATTTTGTCTTTGTTCATTGCTGTATCTGTAGTACCCTGGCACCGTATGTGGCTTGATAAATATTTGTTGAATGACTGAATGAATGAATGAATGAATGTCACATTGCCATATATTATCTCACTTAATCCCTCAATCCTACAAGATGGTTACTCTTATTTTTCTCATTTTACTGATTAGGAAATCAAGGCTTAAGTTAGAGAATTTGTACATGATCATATTTCTAGAAAGTGGAGAAGTTTTAAGTACTAGCCAGTGCAATTAGACAAGAGAAGGAGATAAGGTGTATCCACGTTGGAAAGGTGGAGGCAAGATTCTTACCAGCTGGGTCAAAATCTCTCTGACTCTAGAGCTTTCAATGATAATATTATTAGTATTATTTTGTGTGTGTGTGAGGAAGATTGGCCCTGAGCTAACATCTATTGCAATCTTCCTTTTTTTTTTTTTTGCTTGAGGAAGATTGTCACTGAGCTAACGTCTGTGCCAATCTTCCTCTCTTTTTTTTTTTTGTATGTGGGACGCTGCCACAGCATGTCTTGATAGCAGTGTGTACGTCCACGCCCAGGATCTGAACCTGCAAACCCTTGGCCACTGAAGCAGAGCACACTAACTTAACCGCTATGCCACTGGGCTGGCCCCAATGATATATAATAATAATTATTAAGACCCTTCACTTTCAGAACTGCACAGGTAAGAGGTTTGCAATAAAATAACCCATTTATTTGTCCCCTTTTTCCAGTGGCCTGATTCCACCAAGAGAAGGCTCAGGAAGAAGAAGGGAAAAAGACGTTCTGGTTGCCAGGGCCAGCAGTGCCAGCAGTAACAAAGAGGAGAAGACAATCATAAGGAAGCTGTAAGTCACCTTGCTGCCCCCTGTTGCCACTAAATAATTGCTAAAGGAAGGAGTGGGGTGAGAGGAGGCTGGCCAGCTCCCCGGGATGGGGAGGTCCTGCTCTCCTGTGGGGGGGTGCTGCGGCTGATGCAAAAACTCAGTGCTGGTGGATCCTAATTTCTGCCGGGCAGTAGTCTAAGCGCTAGATATGTATGAATCATTGACCCATCACAGTGACCCTGTGAGGAAGGAAGTATCACTGTCCCTGTTTTACTGGTAGAGACTGGATACAGAGAGGTACAGTAATTTGCCCAAGGTCACACAGATGGCAAGTAGTGAAGTCAGGATTTGAACCCAAGGAAGTCCAGATTCTACACTCTGCTGCCTCCCTGTGATATAAGTACAATAGCCAACAAATAATAATGTTACAACTGGAAAACACAATGATTATTGGAGTGTAGGGGGCTACTCCATTGCCTCTCCTCCCTCCAGCTTTGGAGGCAGGGTCTCCCAGTGTTGAACCCGCCCTGCGGTTGCCTGTGGGCACTCCCCTCGTGTTTGTGCACTCTGTTAATCCCTTGTTTCTGCAGGCGCTGTGCCTCAAACCGCAGAGCGGGGGCTCTTGTTTAAAATTCAGATTCTTGGGAATCTTGTCAGCAGCTCCAGGATAAGGCCCAGAAATCTGGATTTTTAATGAATTCCCCGGTGACTCCGATGTGGGGACCCTTGGCCCCACTGAGACGTCCCTTCTTAGTCACCGGGCATGCTCTCCTCCTCCCCACGCGGCAGGCCGGTTGCCTTGGCTGCTTTGACAGCGTCTGGCCTGGGGACAGTTTACCAGCCCCTGGTCTCCTGGAAACTGAGAAGTGGCCGTGGTCAGGGATCTCATACTGGAATGCCTACCCGGGCCAGGCACTTAAAGTGGCTGAGTGATGGGGGCCAGACACTTAAAGTGGCTGAGTGATGGGGGCCAGGCACTTAAGGTGGCTGAGTGATGGGGGCGTGGGGTAGAGGCGGGGAACATTTGCCCCTCAGTTCTGTCTGGCTGAAGGATAACATGCTATCAGAGCTTATGATTCTTGAGAAAAACCAAGAAACTAGAACTTGTTTGGAATCTGATTTCCGAATGCTGGCAAATAATTTAAGTTAAAAAGTATAGACTGTTCGGTCTTGTCAGCACAGGACTCCTTTCTTCTTGTATTTATTTATTCCATTTTTATCTCCATCCCATTCTGCTTTATTTATTCCCTTTTTATCTCCATTCCCTTTCTACTTCCCAGCTCCCCTCTCCACCAGCCATCCTAATATGGTATTGAACATCTTCAAAAAAGTATATGTTGTTTCATGTGGATGTATTTTCAGTAAGTAACTGATATTTTAACACTTCATTCTATTTCCTAGTGTCATTTTTTTTCACTAAGCCCTGTTGTTTTTTTCTTTTTTATTAGGCACCCATTTTTTAAATTTTAATTTTTTTTGGTGAGGAAGATTGGCCCTGAGCTAATCTCTGTTGCCAGTCTTCTCTTTTTGCTTGAGGAAGATTGCCCTTCAGCTGACATCTGTGCCAATCTTCCTCTATTTTGTATGTGGGACACCGCCACAGCATGGCTTGATGAATGGTGTGTAGGTCCACACCTGGGATCTGAACCCATGAACCCAGGGCCGCCAAAGCAGAGCAAGTGAATCTAACCACTATGCCACTGGGATGGCCCCCCAATTTTTAAATTTTACTAATATATTTTATTAACCCAGCATATCCAAAATATTATCATTTCAACATGTATATGATCACTATAAAACATTAATGAGATATTTTACAAACTTTTTTATGGTAAACCCTCAAAATCTGGTGTATATTTTATATTCACAGAGCATTTCAGTTAAGACTAGCCATGGCTCAGAGGCTCAAAAGCCACAAGTAGCCAGTGGCCACCATATTGGACAGCACAGCTTTAGCCAATACATGGTAAGATCCTTTAGGCTTGAGGACTGAGTTAGAATTGTTGGGGATTTTTTTAGTTTTTTTTTAAATCATAATAAAATATACATAACATAAAATTTACCATTTTAACCATTTTTAAGTGTACAATTCAGTGAGAGTAAGTACATTCACAGTGCTGTGCGACCATCACTGTTATCCATTTCCACAACTTTCTCGTCATCCCATCGTGAAATTCTGTGATTATTAAACGCTAACTCTTTGTGCCCCTCCGCCAGCCCCCGGCACCCACCGTTCTACTCTCCCTCTGTGAATTTAACTCCTCTAGGGACCTCTGTGAGTGGAATCACACAGTATTTGTCCTTTTGTGACTGGCTTGTTTCATGTAGTGTAATGTCCTCAGGTTCATCCGTGTTGTAGCCTGCATCAGAATTTCCTTCCTTTTTAAGGCTGAATCACATTCCCTTGTATGTATATACCACATTCTGTTTACTCATTCCTCTGTTGCTGGGCATTAAGCAGTTTTAAAAAAATCTATCCATATAGCAGTGTAGACATCCAACTTTTGCTTCTAACCCCAGCATAACGGTCGCTCTCCCAGTGGTGGGATCCCAGGTTGCCCTCAGGAATCCCCCGCTGGAAGCAATGCCAGTGAATATCCCCATGCTTATTCATGTCCTCGTGTGGACCGGTGTGTGAAGTTCCCAGGAGTGAAATTGCACTGTCAGCGTCGCTGTCAGGGTCCTGGCTAGAAACAAGTGGCACACTCGAAAGGGGTGATGGAAGAGATTTAAAGAAGGGACATCTTACAGATGCGTGAGCAGAGTTAAAGGATCCAGAAGGGATGGAGAAGCTCCCCCGAGCAGAGCAGAGCGGCAACAGGGCGGCAGGGAGGGAACCGTGATGGGGGGAGTGCGAGGAGGGCGTCAGACGGCAGTGTGGCCTTCAGAAGAGGAACACAGCAACTAGGAAGACAGCCCTGGCAGGGAAGGAGCGGGGAGTAAATACCACCCCTCTCTCCTCCCACATTCCCAGCTCCTGCTGGTGCCTCCCGCTGGCTGAGCCCAGCCCGCAGCTGGAGGACCGGGGACCTTGCTGCTCCTCTCCGTAGGGGCCAGCCTCTGGGAGCAGAGAGCAGGGTAGAGAAGGGAGGAGATGGTCTGCAGGGGCAGACAGCCCACAGCGTAGGCATGTGCTTAGTTTAGTTAAGGATTCCCAGACTTTCTGGAGTGGCTGTGTGAAAACTGCTTTGTCCCACAAGACCACTTGATGCCAGATTCATTCATTCCTTCAATGAATGTTTCTTGAGGGCCTACCATATGCCAGGCGCGCTGTTGTACATGCTGGGATGCAGTGAGCAAGCCGGTCTGCCCTCGCGGTGCTTACGTTCCAGTAGGGGGAGTCAGAGAGCACGCGGGGAAGGAGACAAATTAATGGGACAATTCCTGATACCCATGCGTGCTGTGAAAACCAATGAATAGGGCGCCAAGAGGGAGGTTGATAGGGGACTACTTTAGATCTGGGGAGTCCTGGAAGGCTTCTATGAGGAGGCGACATCCAATCTGAGCCCTCAGAGACCATAAAGACCCGAGGGAAGAGCCTTCCTGGCAGAGGGAACCGTGGGTGTAGAGGCCTGAGGCTGGAGAGAGCTTGGGGAAGAGGGCTCCTGGGGGCGGGAGCAGCGGAGAGAGTGGAGGCGAGGTCGGAGAGGCGGCAGATCACTCAGTGTCGTGGGTCCAGTGAGGACTTGGGGTTTCGTTAGTCTGTGCGCCTTGGGACGACATGGGAGGGTTTTAAGCTGGGGAGGGACGTGACCGTAGTGACACATGAGAAGCTCACTCTGGCTGCTTTGTGCAGAAGGGTCGGGTGGCAGAGTCACAGCGGGGCCAGGGGCAGTGTTTCCTCCCTGAGGAAGGCAGCTAATGAAGGCAAGAGCATCTCACCCCACACCAGGCGTCGGATCTGAGGGTGTGTATTTAGGACTGTCGTTGGCTGGTTTCTTTCTGCCTCTTCGAGGGCAGTTCTGTGGGTCACGAAACTGGAGTTTGAGGCTGATATGGAAAAAATAAAATGTTTGTTCTAGAAGTGCATGAGCCAGCCCAAGGACACGTGTTTAAAGAGAGTGAGGCCACAATTTCATGGTCCAGACAAGCTTGTTGAGCTAATGGAATGAAGGAAGGAAGGAGTGGTTTCCTGAAGAAGTAGGTCATGGTAAGAAGGATTTTTGTCTTTATCCTGAGGACAGTGGGGAGCCATGTCAGAGGTTAAGCTGAGGAATGACTTAGCTCTGCCTACGGCCACGGTCACTCTGGCTGCTGCTCAGTGGATGGCAGGGGGTGGCTGCTGTGCTCACCCTGGTGGCTTGGACTGGGGCGTGGGAGTGGAGGAGATGAGAAGTGGTGGGATTAGGAACATATTTGGGGCGTGATGACTAAAGTAAGCAGATGGGGGGAGGGAGGAGTTAAGAACAACTCTTAGGTTCTTGGCTTGGATGACAGGGTGGGGATGGTGTCACTTCCTGAGACAGGCGACTGCAGGGTTGGGGGAGTGTGCACAGGTTCAGGGGAGGATGGGTGAGCACTAACACCATGTCCAAACACTGGTCAAGGGCTCCCCCGCCCCATTGCTGGCAGAGCCACAAGTGGCACTCAGGGGTTTGTTTCGACAAGAAGAAAGAGTCCATATTCCCATCACTGACAGCCCACTGGCCATCTTTGCATCTTTCCCGTAGCTGCAAATAGCATTGAGATTTGTACTTTGTGATCAAAACCATTCTTCCTTTTCAAAACTTTGCATAGAGGGGGCGGGACACTGAAAGTTAGCTATTCCTGTCTCAGGGGGTGTCTTTATATGTTTTATCCAAGAACTTACATGTGAATCTGTATTCATTGCAGAGATCTGTTTTATAATTGTAGGTAACATTGGGAAGTTATCACTTATTCTACAGTAAAAACAACTAAAATTAAAAAGAAAAAATGGTGTCAGACCCTATCTGTGGGTATAGCACCGTGGTTGCACGGCCCTGAGTCCAACTTCTGATTCCACAACTTACTGTGTGACCTTGGACCTGTCACTTGACCTTGTGAATCAACATTTGCTCATCTATAAAACAGGGACATTGATTGCACTTGCCTCCTCAAGTTGTCATGAGTGTGAGATGAGCCGATAGATGGAAAGCCCCCGACAGTGCCTGTCCCACAGTGAGCCCTGAGTGGGTTTTTGAGTCAGTGACCTGCAAGCGCTGCTGACAGATTTTGCAGGGGGTTCTGCGTCCCTTGCTCCCTTCTCTCTGCTCCCTCTGACCCCTCTCTCTCCACCCAGGTTCTCTTTCCGATCAGGGAAGCTGACATAGATCAAAGGCCATGACCAAGGCGGCGCTTCTCAGGCTAGAGAAGAGAGCCCAGCAAGACTTGCAGACTCGTCTCTTCGTTTCCACACATGCACACTGTACTTGCTCTTTTGTTTCCCCTCAAAGCCGTCTGAGGAGGAAGGAGGGGAGGCTCTCTCATGATCGTTTCCTTCCTGGCTGCAGAACTGGACACCCGCGAAGCCTTGGCCAGGGCAGGTGAAACGGCACAAAGAAATCAAGCAAGTGGAAGGAAAGTGCCATGGGGCCCACCTCCTGGCCCGCTCTGACCACCCAGGGGGCCTCCAGCGGGAGATGTGTGCTCTCCTCCTCTGGTCCCACGGATGACCCTGGTCTTTACTGTGTAGCCGCAAAAAACATCCGCCCAAAGGGAGAGAGGAGAAGAGAATGCAGAAAATGTGGCATTGACATTCCAGTGACGATTTCACTGATATTTAGTGACTATTTGATTTGCTAACATGACTTTCTTTATGTGATTTTATATTAAAGTAAAATGACTTTTATACTTTCTGTAAGTTGTTTAGAGTGCTCTCTTAGAGTCGCGTGACCTTGTGTAAGGTGCTTCACCCTTTTGCAGTCTTGGTCTCCCAGTCTGTAAACTGCATACATGCGTGTGAGTGTGTGTATGCACATACACACAGAGATGGTAGTGTGGATATGGTGCGTGTGTATTTCATGGAATCTAAGTGATGCACCATTATTTTGTGTGTTGCTATGAGAAAAAAAATGCTGCAAATTATAATATTAAGATGCTATTGATTTTAAGGCTCATCCTGATTTCAGAGATGTTAAAACGTGAAAAAAATGTGCATTTAGGAATCGGTGAAATACAGTATATAGATAGCGGGTGGCTGCACTTCTCAAAGAAACTAACGAGGCTGCTGAACACATCCTGCGAGCCTGCCTTCTTAGTAAGTAGCACTGGCTTCCTGGATGTGTTTTGCCTGCTGCACGGATTATCTCCTTTATTCCTCTACCAAGTCGGGGAGACGGGAACTGGTACTAATCCCCCAGTTTACAGATTTGGAAACCAAGATTCCAAAAGGTTAGACTACCTTACACAAGGTCATGTAGCTGGGAAGTGGCTGCCCAGGATACAAAGGCAGGCCTGATTCTAAGGCCTGAGCTCTTATCTGTGAAGGTCTGTGTACCCCAATTGTCCAAAAAGTGCTAATATTAATCATGAACGATGGGGCCGGCCCGGTGGTGCAGCGGTTAAGTTCGAACATTCTGCTTCTCGGTGGCCCGTGGTTCACCGGTTCGGATCCCGGGTGCGGACATGGGACCGCTTGGCGCACCATGCTGTGGTAGGTGTCCCACGTATAAAGTAGAGGAAGATGGGCATGGATGTTGGCTCAGGGCCAGTCTTCCTCAGCAAAAAGAGGAGGATTGGCAGTAGTTAGCTTAGGGCTAATCTTCCTCAAAAAAAAAAAATTAATAATGAATGCAATTTACTGCATGCCTTGCCTGCATCGTTTTAAGTATCTTACACATATTCTCTCACCGTATGGGATGGGTGTCATTGTTATTCCCAAGAGAGACCCAAGCAGATTGCAGCACGGTGGGGCTGAGGGACGTGTCCCAGGTCCCAGCTCAAAAGTGGAAGAAGTGGGACTTGAACTCAGGTGCCGACTCCACAACCCAGGCCTCAGCCACTCTGCCTCCCAAGATAAGTGGCAACATTTAAGGGCCTAATCCGGAACGCCATCCCAGTAGTCTTAGATCAGGGGCTCCTGGTTCCTAAGCCCACGTGGGGGAGGGGGCAGGGTGTGTGTGCAGGTGGAGTTTCTGCACCTTGGAGATGAGCACTGACTTGGGAAACAAATCTGTGCACCCCGGCTTCAGATGCACAGACCCTGGGGCATGGGTGTTCTGGAAGGTAGGGCCTGGGAGCATTTCTCCGGGAGCCAGGGCATGGAGTGGCCGCCGATAACAGAGCTGCAGCTGCTCCCACACCGCAGGCTTCCATCTACAAACCAGCACCAGCAGGAACAGGCTCGGAAGCAAGTTTTCCAGCCAGGTTTCAGAAGGCAGCAGAAGTGGTTGCTGTAGCAATCGTCTCTAAAAAACGAATAAATAGACACAGCAACTGAACACCAGGTGCTTATTATCTGTCAGCCCTGGGCACTTGTAAACCGTGAATGGTAGAAACCACCCCAATTTTTAATCCTAGTAACAGTGAACATTGGTTACTGAGGATTGTGTGTGTGCAAGGCACTACACTAGTGCTTTTTATGTATTAATTCATTTAACCCTCACAGTGACCCTGACACCAGCACCGGGAATGTCTCCAAGTTATAGAGGAGAAAGTGGCGCACAGAGAGGTTAGGTAAACTGCCCAAGGTTACACAGCTGCTAGGTGGCTGGAACGAGATGTTCTGTTCCAGGGCTGAGCACTTGGCCACCAGGCCACACTGTCCCCTCCAAGGTGAGGATGTAAAAATACATGACTATTGAATCCTTGGGACACTCCTGCAAGGCAGGTGGGTAAAGAGGGTTCCCATTTGATGGACAAATTTCAGAGAGGGTAAGTGATTTGTCCGAGGTGACACAGCTGACAAACGCTTAAAGCTGGTGCTGGAACTGATGTTTTGCTGCTAAAGCGAGGACTCTACCCGGTTCCAATCTGCCTCAAGTGCCCCGTGCCCGGGGCTGAGGGAACTAACAGCCTCTCAAGGGCAGGTGGTGGGACATGTGGTGAAGACAGGGATCTGGGCGGGTAGGAGGGACTTCAGCACAAGCAGGTATGGTGGATGATTCCGAGACACCTACCCCAGATTCAAGTCCAGTAAATTAGACAATTCTATCAGGCGAAATTTGATTACGTACCAGGCATTGTTCTAAGGGGCCAATGTGCATTAACTTCTAATCTTCACGAGCAGCCTGTGACCCTCGTTAGACAAAGAAACTGTCCCCTCGGAGGACATCAATTGAAACTTGGACTCACACCAGTATGTGACCCTTTTGTAGACTCCAGCCCCACTCTTCTCTGCCTCCGCCTCATGAAAAACAGAAAGACACACACAGGTGGTTTCGCCTGGCAATAAATATTTTAATTTTTGTTTCATTTTTATGATGACAAATAATTTTCAAGTTTATTTCTTTTTTTGTTTTTAAATACAAAGCTAAGCCACAAACAGGTACAACCAAGACATTTTATCTCACATTAACACACTCCCGTCGGATCCTCCTCCAATTTGCTGACCACTGACCAGGCAAGTATGGGGTCGGGGGAAGACTTTCTTAGGTAGCACCGTCATGAGGCCGGGGAGGGGAGGGTGGGGGTGGGGACCTGGGGGCATCAAGGTTGAGGACAGGCTTTCATTGCCTGTCTCCATTCACATTTACCTGGGGCCGCGGGGTGGGGGTGGGAGGCCCTGGGTCTTGGCCGCAGAGCCCCAGCCCCCCCGGGGCTGCAGGTTAAGAGTGGGAATCAGTCCCCCTTTGGGAGGGAGGAGGCAGCTACCTACTCCTCCTGCCATCACAGTCGAGGTGAAAACTTCAGCCTTAGCCTGGATCCCTGGGCTGCTGGGCCTGCCCGCTCCCCTGAGCACCAGCAGGCGGCATGGGGGTCCTGCATTTCAGGGCTTGGAGGCTCACCCCTCGGTTCATGGCTGCATCTTCAAGGGAAGGAAACCAGGTGGTCTGACAGACAGACAGCCTTGACAGCAGGTCTGAAACTTTCAACCCAGCAGAATCAGGGTCGGGTGGGGTCGGGGGAGGGGATCGGGTAAGTAATTTCTGGTCCCACTACAAAACTTTATTTTTGATTAGAATAGAGTACCATCTCAAATCTCTTCTACAAAAAAAAAAAAAAGAAAAAGAAAAGAAAAAAATGCAGCCACTTCACTCACTTCAAGACCTATATACACGTAAGTTGTTTTCTGTGGTTTTTCTCTTTTTTTTTTTGTCTTTTTTCTTTTTTTGATTTTTATTATTTTTTTAAAATAAATTCAGTGTTCACATTTCTATAAAGAATTAACCCAGTTTCAGGAAACCCTGCCCCGGCAGGGCTAGGTAAGCAATGCTTTTCCCTGCCCACGTCTACTTTATTACCCGCCCTGATGCTTCGAGGTGCCCGGAAAAGTGGCAGCCTGTGGAAGAGTAAGTCTAGGCCCAGCCCGTACTCACGGGCCACCGGGTCAGTAAGCTTTCGAGAAAGCAGAGGGGAAGACTAGCTTACTGCGAAACCTTTTTAAAAAATATTCATACACTTCAATGTGCGCCTGTCGAGACGTCAGGAAAACAAGAGCTTGGGAACATCCCGTCCAGGGCTTCGGGAGGCAGCATCTTCCTCGCACCCGTCAGGGGTGTGGGGAGGAGTCCTGGCTCTGCAGCTGGAGGCAGGAGCATCGCCCAGCTTCCTAGTTCATGTTCGATTCTCTCCTCTAAAACCTGTGCTGAGTCTTTGACTGCATGCACGGGAAGCACAAACGTTCAACTTGTATGCAAAAAAGGTACAAAAACAACTAGAATATAAAAGTTTTGGTAATATAAGGCCATCTGTTCAAGTCCACCTTGGAAACCTGTAACAGATATTTAAATACTACAGTGAAAAGGCATCTTAATATACTTTTTAAAAACATCTGAAGTCATCTGCTAAGATTAAGTGTGTAAAAAAAAAAAAAAAATCAATTCCCTTTGAGGGCACTTTGTCCATGGGGGTGGGGAGCCGGTGCATTAATGCTTCAGCCAGGGGTAGGCCTCGATGGAAGCCCTGCTGCGGTCCCCGTAGTCGTACAGGAGCTCCTCGCCGGCCGCGATGTCTCGGGAGGCGATGAGGATGAGGTGAGGCACGCCGTCGATGTCGTGCAGTTTGGTTTGGCAGTTCCCACATTTGCTGTGATTGATCAGTCTTCCCAGGCGATTCGTCTCTCTAGTTGCATCCACGCTGGCGGGGAGGGAGGGCAACAGAGGGTGAGATTGATGAAGAGGCCTTTGAACCCAGCCAGACTCAAGCTTGCTCTCAACTCTGGGGGCATGTCGATTTATAGCTACAACTTTGGGAAGCAATTCAACTCAAAAAACATATCTTTAAGAGCCCAGAGAGGCAGTGGGTGGGGTATGTGAGGCGGGGGTGGGAGTGGACAGGAATGCAAAAGGCTCTTGTGGAGGCCCGTGAGGCAACTGGGGTTCTGCAAAATAAAGAAATGACTAAAAATCAACTCTGTGTGGGTGTGGGGGCTGGGAGTATCTGGGAACTCTCTGTACCTTCCACTCAATTTTGCTGGGAACCTAAAACTGTTCCAAAAAATACAGTCTAGGGACCAGGCCCATGGCCAAGTGGTTAAGTTTGTGCGCTCTGCTTCGGTGGCCCAGGGTTTTGCTGGTTCGGATCCTGGGCACGGACATGGCACCGCTCATGAGACCATGCTGAGGTGGCATCCCACATGCCACAACTAGAAGGACCCACAACTAAAATACACAACTATGTCTTGGGGGGCTTTGGGGAGAAAAAGCAGGAACAAAAAAAAAAAGATTGGCAACAGTTGTTAGCTCGGGTGCCAATCTAAAAAAATAAAAAAATAAAGTCTATTAAAAAATCCAATCAACTCCACTGCCACGTCGAGAAAGGAGCAGTCAGAGACTTCCAGAGCTGGTCTGGCCAAATGCCCTGGGAGGGGGGCCAGGTGAGCCAATGATCAGGCTCTCATGGAATGAGTCCGCTTCTCCTTGTCTGATGAGATGGCACCTAGAACCGCTCAATCCCAGAGTGTAAAAATGGGAAGGGGCAGAGCTGCATCACAGCTTTGGAAAAAGGCAGCAAGAACTAAAGAAGCAGCTGGGCAGCAGAAAGATCAGCACGCTCCCCACGGCCCTTCGTCCTGACCGCCGCTGGGGCAGGAAAAGCCACTGGAAGCACCGGTGGACTCACCAGTAGGTTTTGCTCAGATACTGAAAATAGTACATGTAGCAGCCCGTGGAGGGGTCTTGTGCGTACAGAGCCTCCCGCTTCTTGGCGTCGGTGATCTCAATGAGGTCCCCGTGGTATTCCACCACAAACTCGCCCCGGGAGAACTGCTTGGTGGCTATCACGCCCCTGCCTTTGCCATCAATCAGGTCAATCTGTTGGGAGGTGACGAGAAAGAGGGTTGGTTTATAACAGCAACAGACGCCACCGTGCGTGGCTGGCTTCCAGGGTGCCTGGGGCTTACACCATTCTTCTAACAGCTTTATTGAGGTATGCCATACAATTCACTCATTTTACATGTACAGTTCGATGGGTATTATTAAACGGATACAGTTGTGTAACTATCGCCACATCCATCACCCAGAAAGTCCCCTTGTGCCCATTTGCAAAGCATTGTTAGACTGGATCCTCATGAGAGATCTGCGAGGTTGGTGTTGCCCCATTTTGCAGATGAGCAAACAGGCTTAGAGAGGCAGAGCCAAGTGTCCACGGCCACACAGTTAGGAAGTGCTGGAGCACACACTCAAATCCACTTACTTGGCCTTTTCAGAGGAAGAGTAGGACCCATTGTTCTGGGTCTCTTCTTTATTCCATAATCTACCCTCCTGGGTTTCTCCTCACTCCACTATAAATGGAGTTGGAGGTGCTTGTTTGAGGAGCCCAGACTTAAGCTCAGATCCCCCCAGAAGGTGAGTGGAGACTGAAGCTTTCTGACTCCTGCGTCCTAACCAGACCCATCTGGCCACCCTTTGGAGCGTTACTCCCCTCCCATCCACCCAACATGTTCAAAATATACTGAGAGAAGCAAATTTCCTGGGCATTGCCATTTCCCAGGAAAAGAGAGTTCAGAGAAAATTTATTAGTTTCTCCTTTTAAAGGTTTCCCCAGGCATCATGCTAAACGAAAGCAGCCAAATACATCAGGTTACACATTCTATGATTCCACGTATACAAAATGTCCAGAATTGGCAAATCCATAGAGACTGGTGGTGGCCGGGGGAGGGTACGGGAGTGACTGCTCATGGGAACAGGGAGGATGTTTGGGAGGATGAAAAAGTTCTGGAATTAGACAGGGATGATGGTTGCACAACACTGTGAACGTGGAATGTACTTAATGCCACCGAACTGTACACTTTCAAATGGTTACAATGGTAAATTCTATGTTATAAGCATTTTACCACAATTTTTAAAAACTTTCCCCAGGGTAATCCTTCACATACGAAGCCCACTCACGTCTCCTTCATGAGGCGCCCCCTTAACCATAGCTTAGTATATGGTGCCTCAACACCCTAACAGTCTGACTGGTCACAGTGACCATTAAAGGGTTAAAGCGATGGCAGCCGCTGTTGGCCCCGGGATCAGGGACAGTGGAACCACACAGCCTTAGCCTGATGCTGGGCCCCTGCTGCCCCTTACCTTCATTCCTTCTTCCTTCCCACTTTCAATCAATTCGTCTATTCTTTTCCTTTCTTCGGACTGGGTGGAGAGGAAAGAAAAACAGCACATCAGCATTTGCTCCTGGGCCACTTGGGGTAGCAACGGATGCCTGGGCCACCCACAGGGTCACTCACAGTTGGTCTCCATGATATCAGTCCCCAAGGATGCCTAAGGTCCCAATCCCCCTTTACTTGGTAGCTGTGTGTTGTGGACAATTTGCCACCTGGGGTTCAACTGGCCCAGGAGGGAGACAGTGGTAGCTCAAGGGCAGAACTAGGCTTGCGGCTATGTTGTTTGGCCCATGCAGTGTTCTAAAAAAATATTTAAACTGCTGATATTTAAAACTCATGGCTCTGGGGCTGGCCCCGTGGCTGAGTGGTTAAGTTTGTGTGCTCAGCTTTGGCAGCCCAGGGTTTCGCCGATTTGGATCCTGGGTGCGGACATGGCACTGCTCATCAGGCCATGTTGAGGCAGCGTCCCACATGCCACAACTAGAAGGACCCACAACTAAAAAAAAAATATATACAGGGGCCAGCCCAGTGGCGCAGCAGTTAAGTTCGCATGTTCCGCTTCTTGGCAGCCTGGGGTTTGCCGGTTCAGATCCCGGGTGCGGACATGGCACCACTTGGCAAAAGCCATGCGGTAGGCGTCCCACGTATAAAGTAGAGGAAGATGGGCATGGATGTTGGCTCAGGGCCAGTCTTCCTCAGCAAAAAGAGGAGGATTGGCAGGAGTTAGCTCAGGGCTAATCTTCCTCAAAAAAAAAAAAAATACATATATATATATATATACACACACACACAGAATTATATACTTGCGGGATTAGGGGAGAAAAAGCAGAGAAAAAAAAAAGATGGACAACAGTTGTTAGCTCAGGTGTCAATCTTTAAAAATCAGGGCACAGGCACACCACATCTCTCCCTCCTGACGGCCCCTGCAAACGTCTCACTTTAGGATCTCTGAGCTACATCTCCACGGAAGCTGCTGCCAAGGAAGAGAAGAGGGCCTCCCATCCTAAAGAGTCATTGCACCCTGAACGGAGAAGCCACAGAGGAATGGACGCTCGAGATCTCACCTGTCCCTTAGGGTCACTGCCCGCACCTCCCCTCCCCCCCACCGCCATTACTCTGTCCATCCCTGATCCTGGCCCCACCGCTCTGTGGGTGCACAGGACTCTAGGGAGCCAGAGGGAGCTATAGAAAGACAGACCATAAGTCCCAACCCAGCGTGAACCCCCAGCCAACAGGATGGCACACAGGTGGGAGTTGTGCCGACAGCAGAGCCCTCCACACTCAGCTGAGCTCAGCCCTCCCCACCGAGGCCTCAGGACACCGCCTCAGCCAACGTAACCAGCCTGCAGCCCATGTGGGACCTTCTCACTCAGGCCACAAGTATTTATTGCATGTCTGCAATGTGTGTTGGGGGCATGGTGGTGAGTGAGACCAGGTCTCTGCAACCTTACAAGGGGTTTACAGGCGCCACAGAAGACCCCCACCCAACAGCCCCAAATCCAGCCCCCTCCTCTCCATTTCTACCACCGCCTTCCAGCCGAGCCGCGCCTGCGCCTGCCCGGGCGTGTGGGACAGCCGCCTTGCTGGTCTCCTGGCTCCCACTCTGACCACCCCCTTCACTGTTCTCCACAGCAGCCAGAGGGGCCTTTTAAAAATGTGAGATCATGTCATTTCCCCACTGAAAGCCTCCCAGTAGGTTTATTCAAGAGTCAAGTACCAGCGTTGGCTCCTGAGTTGTGACAAATGTACCAGAGGTAAGACGTTAACGGTGGGGGAAACCAAGTGAAGGGCCTATGGGAACGTTCTGTACTATCTTTGCAACTCCTGGGTGAGTCTACAATGATTCCAAAGTAACAAGTTTATTTAAGAAAAACAAAAGCCTTTCAGGAACTTCCCACTGCTCTTGGGATAAAATCCATTTTTCCGATGGCCCGTGAGGTTCCGCAGGCCCAGGCCCCGCCTCTCCAGCCTCCTCGCCCTCTTCGCCCTCGCTCCCACCCTCCGGCCACACTGCTGGCCCCGCAGAAGGCCAGGCTGGCTCCTGCTGCAGGGCCTTCACACTCGCTGTCCCCTGCCCGGCCTCTCCTTTCCCCAGTGCACGGGCCTGGCTTGCTTCCTCCCTTCCTGAGCTCTCCTCAGACAGGGACTTCCCTGGTCACAGCGGCTAAAGCAGCCTGAGCCTAGCCACGCTGGCAGACTACTGTTCTAAGTTAATGCCAAAGTGCCCTCCGAAACTACCTGGCCTTTTGGTTTTTCTTTTGTTGTTGTTGTTGTTAATTGCTCCCCAGTTGACGATAAGCTCCATGGGTACAGGGGCCTGATCTGTTCACTGTGGGGTCTCCTGGCCTAGGACAGTGTCTGGCACATAGTAAGAACTCACGGCAACGACACACAGCACCCCCCACCTTGCTGAATAATTAATGATCACAAGTGTGCAGAGACCAGTGAGGACAAGTATGTAAATGGGAAAACTGGGGTAGGTGACAGGGGGCTCTCCCGCCGGGAGTGAAGGTGGCTCGGAGACGAGCTGAGAGCTGCACCAGGCAGACGCCCCACGTGCAGAGCCGAAGTGCCCGAGTTTCACCCTGGGGGCTCGAGGGTCTGGGCATGCAAGCAACCAGCTCGGGCCTTCCTACTGGGAACGCCACAGCAGCCCCAGGGGCCGGGAGGCAGCGAGTGGGAGGTGAGCAGGTCTGAATTAGGGCAAGGGCTGCGAAGAGGAAGGAGGGGACAGATAGAAGACATTCCCGAGAGGAATGAGCAGGCAGCTCTGTGCTTCAGCCCGGGGGGGGGGGGGGCCGGGCGCGGG